AGGGTGGGTTATCAGCCACTGGAACAGGCTCCCCAGAGAAGTGGTCACAGCCTGTCCATGTTCAAGAGGCATGTGGACAACACTCTTAGTGTTGTACGCATCTTAGTCATATGCTTTAGTTTAGATAGCCCTGTGAGGAGGAGGGAGCTGGACTCAAAGATGGTTGAGTCCCTTTCAACTAAGATATTCAATGATTCTATGTTTTACTTTTTTGTAATTTTTTATAATTGTGTGATGCAACTATAATATGTGGTAATAAACTTGTTAGAATGAAATGTTTATGCCCTTACTATACTAATGCAATGCAGGGGATTACAGTCATGGAATAACATAAGTGACACTGTAAAATGACACTGTAAGATGACACTGAAAACTTCAGGGCTGTAAACAACTCACCATGGGTCAGCTAAAAATACACTGACCTGGAAGGTGGGAAAAGCCAGTTGCAGGGGTAACAAAGAGAACAAACAACTCCCACCACACTGAACCAAACTATCTTAACACCTGTGGAAATAACCAAAGGAGAGTAAAACACTAGCAATAGAGGTCGATGTCAAGAAGTTTTTGTAAGAATTTTAACTCTATTATTATAGAGGTTTTTTCCCCCATGTAATAGTACTGTTTTCTTTTTCTGTAATTATTAGATCTGGACTGATAAATCTTTCATTAGCTTGTCAAAAAATTACCTACTTTGACAACAGACTCTTGACTTTGCAAATTATGGTTTTTTCCTCCTTTTCTATGCAAGCATTTGAGGGTAATAACTGTTCCTCAAGGAAAGCCAATACAATTAAGTTGACTACCATAAGTTATTTATTTCTACCCTTCAAAGATTATGACAGTTTAACAGATCAATGACAGGACTTCAGGAATCTTTTTGTGTATTGGTTCTTCTCTTTTTTCCCAATGGGGAGGTCACTACAGAGTTTTGTGCTCTGCTGTCTTCCTGACCAATTAGAAGCAAAACCTACTTTATTCTGACCAGGCTGAGTTTCAGTATGTATGAAGCAAAACATAAATAGTATATGGTGGTCAAAAGAGTGACAACACAAAGGAACAAAATGTTTGTCCAGATATCTTTATATGGTAATTTCCATACAGAGTCATAATCAATCCAACCCAATTTTCTCTGTGTAAGTGATGCACACTGAACCACTGGTATGTGTACACGTATTAACATCAGTCAGAGAATTTTGGTTGGTACTCCCACCAGCATTTCACAGAATTTGATACCAGCCTTCAGTCACGTCCCTGGGAACTGTAGCACAGGCAGGGTGGTATGCTTCTTGTCCCATGGTAAGCATCCTGTACACCTGAGTGAGTCATCAAGATGCATGCAGTAGCAAGGGAGGAGAAACAGGCTCTTTTAAAATGAGGTGGTTTTTTTTTTAACATACACATGTGAATGAGATTAATCCTGTCCTGTGTCACTTCCTTGACGTAAGAGAAATTTAGACAGAGTTCATATATAGATAGCTGCATTATATATATGTGGGTAGATAACTCCCACTGAAAATAAACTCCCTTTTGAAAAAAAATCCACAAAAATGAGTGTGTGATTCTTTATCAAAAACCGTTATCAGAGTCCAGAAACTAGCAGGAATTAGGTCTCTAGTCCTATAATGAAATGGAGATGTGTAATAATCTAGTAACACTGAAGATGTCGTGATCATATTTTTTCCAGTACAATAGCAGGTTTAAGGTTAATTGCCCTCTTTTGTGCCACACCATTGATTGCTGCCTTTGGGCCATGAGTTCTTCACGCCACAGCTGGACAATATGAAGAATTGATTGGCAATATCCATTTAAGCAATCAGGCTTTTTGATCCCGTGCCCCTTTTTCACTGCACCTTTTCTGTGCTCTCAGGTGGTTGGATTCAGCTCAATATTTTCCTCCAAAGCACCCTTCCTCAGAATAGTACACTAAGCATCACTCAAACATTCATTTCTTTACTACATGGAGGAAGACAAATGTGCCTTAAATACTCTGTGTTGTATTCCCAAACATGTGGTACTTGATTTTAACTCAAAGCAGGTCTTAGGTATCTCTTACAGATTTTCCATGCTCTTAAAATACAAAGTGAAATTAAGCTGGAGAAAACTGAACTAAATGTGTTTTTAGCATAAAGCTTGCTGCAGTCTGTTAAGAGTCTTTTAAATGGATACTGTAGTGAAAAGTTTTATGGGTTGCTGAGAAAGCTTTAATAGTACTCTGAACTGAACAGTAATTGAAGAGGTGGGTGAAAAGGGCAGCTTTTTTCTTTATTTCAGTCACAGATGCATCAAGGCATGGAAGCAGCAAAACATTTTCAGTACCTATTTGTTAGATCTGAAAGCAAAAAACACCAGTTCTCTACTTCTAGGTACCAATGCAGTACAAATACTAATTTAAAAAAAAAAAAAAAAAAAGATAGAGAAATAAAAATGGTGCATCATTTGCAGCTGGTAACTTTAGTATCAGCTTTGATAAATTTCACTTTATCCACAAATAAATGAAGAGTAAGAATGGGAATTTCCTGTTAGTTGTTTAGCACACACCTAATTTCAAAATGAAGAGAACTGATGTGCCATGACTTGATCATAAGAGTTTTACAGCAAAGGTCTTTAAGCTGAAACTCTTTTCAGCTCAAGAGTTTAGTGGGAGTTTTCATACTGTGAGCTTCAAGTGCATGGAAATATCAATGCACATTCCCATAAGGTGCTTCTCTAATGTTACAATTCAAAGTACAATATTGTGTTTTGCAGCAATATTTTTGAACAATTTGTAAAGGTTTCCCACTTAAAATTTTTACACGACAATTAAGATGGTAGATACCAGTGGCGTAGTACTCTATTTATTCCTGTGTAATGCACTGAAAAGCTCACTGTAGAATCTGCAAGTGAGCACACAATTCAAATGTGTTAAAGAATGCATCACGTAAAGGTTAATCAACAACAAAGTTAGCAAAAATTATTTGATTGTAAAGGTAATACTTATTTAAAAATGTGTCAAGAGAAAACAAAAAATGACCTAGGGTAACAATCACTGGTTTACCCTGGGTAGCAAGTATGTTGGCATCATATAATATACATCATATCACGTATTTCAGAAAGCAAAATCACACTGAAACTAATTCCATTTTTTGTGAAATTGTTTTAATCATTAAAAGCAGTAAGCACTGCTGAAACATTCAGATTTGACAAGAGGCTGGGCATGTTGTGTTTGGAATAGCGTGTAACAAGAAATTTTATAGATTATGTGTACATAATTCAAGAACCTTTTACTAAAAATGGTCTTAAGAGTGTGTCTTTCAATTCAGTTCATTAATAAGTATTCTATCATATTTCCTCCTAAGATAGTTGCTTCCTATGTGAAGAAGTGTGGAAATATTTTATCCCTGTAAAATCATAGAATCATAGAATCAACTGGGTTGGAAAAGACCTCCGAGATCATCAAGTCCAACCCTTAAGGATGTGGTCAGCACTACAGCCAACTACGCATTCATATGTTCACAGCTGAGCTTCAAAGTCAAGATAATTTCAGTAATAAACAATTTTATATTTGAGCTTAAAATAACATCTTAATAATAAATTGCAAATAACTGCAGAGTTAAGCAGAGATGTTATTTTATATTGTGTTCTGATAGTGGCCTGACTAGTAGAAGTATCTCCCAGCATCTAGTTAGGGACTTCTGAGAAAGAGGTAGTTTCTATGTGTTTGATAACCTTTAATGTATTTCTCTATCGTGAGTTTTCTCATTGACTTTTGAAGGTACATGAACTATCTGGAAAAACCCCCTGCTTCAGACTTTACTGCATTTGCACTTGTTATAACAACTGATGAAAACAACAAAACACTGACTGAAAACACAAACCCTAGTGTATCCATTTGCACTAGATAGGAAAAAACAACCCTGTGCTGGTTTTGGTTGGGATAGAGTTAATTTTCTTCTCAGTGACTAATATGAGGGTGTTTTGGATTTGTGCTGACCACAGGGTTGGTAATATAGAGATATTTTTGTTACTGCTGAGCAGTGCTTACACAGAGCCAAGACCTTTTCTGCTTTGCATACTGCCACATTGGCTAGAAAGTTGGGGGTGCATGGAAGTTTAGGAAAAGACAGGTGACAGGTCAGAACAGGTGACCCAAAATGACCAAAGGGATATTCCATACCAAATGACCTCATGACACAATACAAAAAGTTGGGGAAAGAAGGAGGAAGGCATGGGGAAGACACATTTGGAGCAATGACTCTTCCTAAGTTATCATTATGTGTCATCTTGGAGATAGCTGAACACCTGCCAGCTCACGGGAAGCAGTGAATTAATTCCTTGTTTTGCTTTGCTTGTGTGCATAGTTTTTCATATACTCAACTTACGAGTTTTCTGTTTTTTACCATTCTGAGTTTCTCCCTAATCCTGCTGGTAGGGCAGTGAGCAAGCAGTTGCATGGGGTTTGGGGGCTGGCTGGGATTATAAGCGATTTCAAAGTCCCATCAATGGAGACAGGACTGGAAGCACAATGCAGCCAGCTCCAATGCACAGTGGACCTGGCTGACATCAGTCCCAGGGAAATCTGGTATGTACTAGGAAACCCATCAGCTGAACAAAAATCCTGCCTTTTTGTGTGGATATACAACCTAACAGAACTGGTTTGTACTGAAATGTAAGAACTCGCAATATTATATATGAATATCCAAAGAGCTCAGCACGGTCCAATTGCCAAAAAATGGCCACAATACAGTTGAGTCCTTGCGTATTCGGATTTCCTTCCTCGCTGAACTAAACCGCGGCCGCCGCAACGCAACGGCCCCACGCACTTGGGGACTCAAACTGTAAACAGGGGCGCTGAAAGACGACCAGACCGAGCACATTATTTTAGAGCGGGGCCTGCTCCGTGCCGGCACCAGGTGAGCCGGTCCGGCCGCACCACGAGGCACCCCCGCCGCCTGCAGGGCCAGCCGGGGCGGCCGCTCGGGAGCACGGCGGGCCCCGCGCCGGCCCCCCACGTGACCGCGCGGCTGCGGCCCGCCCCCCGCGGAAGGACTAAAGGGTAAGCGAGCTCCGGGGCCCGGGGCGGGCGGGGCGATGGGAGCCGGGCGGGCTCAGAGCGCCGCAGGGTCGGGGCGGAGGGGCGGTGGAAGAGCCCAGTGCTGGAGGAGGGAGCGGGGCGGGCGGGGGCAGACGGGGCTCGGGGTGTTGTGGCGCACAGGGCCATGCTCCCCGCTGCGGGCCCGGCCGCCAGCCCGCGCCCTGCGCTCGGTGCCGCCCCGGCCCGCCCCGCCCCGGCCCCGCCCGCCCGAGCCGCCCCGGGGCGGATCCCCGCGCGGCGGCGGAAGCGCTGCTGGCGGCCCACGGGCGCTGCTGCATCTCGGCAGCGTGTGCCGTTCTTCCTCTTTCAAATTATCGAGATACAGTGCCTAGGGCGAAGGGACTGGATTAAACAGAACTTGCAGAGCCAGCAGTGAGAAGCGCCGCTGTTCTCCGCATCCCCTGCCTGCCAGAGGCGGTGCGGGAGACGGTCGTGCCCCGGTGCCGGTGCAAGCGTAGCATGTGCGGGGGAACAGGCTGGGAAGAGACTCCGAGTTGTGCGCCCGTTCGCTGGCATCATGTCCTGCTCCTGGGACTTGTGCTGTGCACTGCTCTTGCTCCTGGACTGGATGCAATTCTTACTTAACATGCTTTCCTGCTTTATTAAATGTCAGATCTCATATTTGCCCTACGATGAACACAGTTAATGGCAGTTACCTAGTATTTGGATGGAGTGGCTTTCCTGTTACCCTACATCATGAACATCTGAGAGAGAAATACTTTTTTTGGTTTATAATGATATAACTTGTCTTAAAGTGACTGCTTTTCCATACCTGTTTGTTGTCCTTCAATGTGTTCTTAGTTAAATACTTCTCTTTAATGCTTGAAGCTGAAGAGATTCAGCCAGGGCCTAGATATGTACTGGTGTTCATACCTTTTTGAAGGAAAATTAATTTTTTTTTGAAGTTGGTGAAAAGTTTAGATAGAAAAATTGCAGCTGAACAGGTAGACTCTAACCTTGTAAAAATCTTCTAATTAACCAGTATTCCACTCCAGGGTTTTTTGGTTTTGTTCGGTTTTTATTTTTTTTTCTTTTATTTTTTTTTTTCATATCATTGCTGTTCTGGGGAACTGGAACTAATTGAGCACACTGAGATACCAAAAAAAAAGGCAAAGTTGGTCTGGGGAAGCTGCTTTACATCCCTCTAAATAGCTTTCTTGTACCAGCACATTTTTATTTTCTTTTTCTCCCCCAAAAGCATATGTCACATGTACTTGTTCATTGTTCAACTAGGAAGAAAATAGAAATTGTCAACAGAATATACTTGGAAGACAAAACCTCTTGGGTTTTCAGGTTAAATGAAATAATTTCTCTAGAAGACTTCAGAATTAGGCTTGATTTTTCCATTATGCATCTTTGTAACTGAATCCATGTGCATTTTGTGAAAAAATATAACATTTTTAACTAATGTTACAATAATGTTAAAATCTCTGTTTGGGAGATTTCTAGGAGTCTTCCATTTCATTTCCTTTCAAAATTACAGATTCTCCTGTTTATCTTGTATGCTGTTGCTGAAATAATTTTCTCCTGGAATTGATGATAAATAACTATATACATGTGGTATAGCAGTGGGTGGTATCCAGATCCACGAGAATAATAGTTTTAATCATGCTGAGCAATAATTTTAAGATTCAATTTATTTCACAGTTACAGTTGGAATTTTATACTGAGAACTTTATAAGTTGACCAGTGTGCCACAGATTTCAGCTGTTTCTGGAAATCTGTATCCTTATGTTTGCTGTTTAGTTGTTTTGTTTATTCTTGAGACTTGAGAAATTTATATAGCAGTTGAAATTGCCACAAATCCCAGACTCAGAATCAATATGGTGGGGAATGATTGTTACAGAATACACTAGGTATGCTCTTAACAAGTCCCACAGTGGCCTCTAATGTTCCAGAACAACCTGAGTTGTTAAAATAAAGTTATTTTTCAAAGGCACAATTTTCTGTATTAGTTTGTACATTAGTGTATTGATATGTCACAGACAGTAGGTAGTAAGTAGTTGGTTCGTCAGACCTTACTGCTGGATGATTTCGTGGGAATGGTCTGTTGGGGAGCCAGTTCTAATTTCCCTACTTTGAGCAAGCATGCACAAAGCTACCTTTGCCGTAGTTGTGGGAAAACTAGTTATTTTTGTAAAGTGTACTGAAAATAGAGAATACCTTCCAAATGTTAAATACATTTTCTATTTTTTTTTTGCAATTATTTGTTCATGACATAATAAATATTATTGTCAGTTATTATTCTGTCATATACTCAGTGCGTACTTGTATGCTTTAGAGATTCGTAGATGAGAATCTTGTTTCTTGCATTCATTTGTTCTTGTATTCATTTGATTTTCCTTTAGGCTTGAAGAAACTTCCCTGTTCCCTACAATATGTACTTGGTCTTAACGCAAATGCAGAAACTTTTAGAAGAATTTGTTTCTGACAATATTCATGTTTAGAATTGAATGCTGTTATTCTTAGGCTGCTTATTGAATGTTATGTGAATACTTAATGTTATATATTGTGGTTAAATCCTTTTTTTGTTGTTGTTTTTGACTAAATTGGGTTCTGGATAATTGCAACTAACAGGACAGTTTCGTGGTATTGGAAAGAATCCAGAGAGTTGACCAGATAAATGTGCAAATTCATTTAAATTCAAAGGTTATGCTATTGTTTATGGTTAATATAATTTACAAATTCAGTGAGTTTTGAAGCAACTGCTCTTTTATGCAGTCTACTCAAGACTAAAACATAACAGCAACTAGTAGATGTTCATAAAGAACACTTAAAATCAATTTATAAAATTAACTTACTTCTCATGCATTGAATCTTTAGGCTCAAAGCAACATAGAACTTTCATTTGTAAAAAGCTAAATACCTGTTAAGTGATTTCCAGAATTGATATGATTTAGTACTTTCCTTTATTTGCAATATATATCAATGATTATTAGTTTATTTGAAGATGTAGAAACATGAGTAAAAACAAATATTGTAACTTTTAGTTTAGAAGGACTGGTACTCTGTCACCTGTGTGATGGTACTTGGAATATACCGCATTACATCTAAAGTTTAAATGCTCTGAAAAGATCTGATTTGTAACAATTACTGACTTTTCTTTTTGTATTGCAATTCTTTTTCTTGATGCTTGTATGTATAAAATGGAATCCTGGATAACTTGTCAGAACTGAGAGGTGGCTGATTACACTCTGTCATGAACTGTTTGTTAATTTGATTGCTGAGCATAACTTTGATCTACAATTATATTTTATTCCAGTTTTTCTTTATGTGTGAAGATTCACATATTTTGTTTGGAAATACAAGATTGTCCATGAGGGTAAAATTTGTGTACTTCAGACACAAAATTAATTTTTAAGAGTAGTAATACGAATTTCTTCCCAGTTACAACCAACGTGGGAGGTAATATTTGTACATGAGATAGATCCCAATGATGGAATATAATAATATTAAATTAAAAGAAGAATCCGTTCCATATTAATTTTTTTTTCTTTCAGTAATAATTCTGTGACAGGTTACGTTGCTAAGTGTTGTGGTTTAAGCTTTTTTATTTGGTTTGTGACCTGAAAGCTCAATATGTTGATCTGGTTTTTTTCTGCTTCTGAGAATTTCTCTGTATGTTATAGCTTTGAAATGATTACAAAAGTGGATTTTTGTTGTTGTTTTTCTTTATTGTGGTATATTGGAAAAAAAATTCTGCATATTTCATAGTGATGGGAGCTATTACATTGAGGTTGTAATTGCTTTATTTCAAATGAAGGCATAAAAAAGTGGTACAAAATGGAGTTGAAGCTAACAAAATCTGCTGCTTGGTATTTGGAACAAGCAAAACATCTAGGCATCAGGACAAAATGACTAACTTAGAAGAACAAATGACAGAGCATACACGTGTAGTTGCTGAAACTGCTGATTAGGTTAGGATTTGTTGCTTTAATGACACAGCAATCATTTCCATGACCTGTGACATTTCCAAACTCACAACAGAGTGCTATTCTTTATTGTGTGTGTTCCAGGGGTTACAGAGAGGGTAATATGATGCAGGAATAGGATGAGCAAAACCTGAGTACAGAGTATAAATACATTAATGGAATAGACATGTTACCATTATGGTGGAATAACACCAGGATGGAGCTGTCTTTATTGAAGGATAAATGAGAGATCCTTCTGGAACTAGATAGTATTTTTAAATGAAAACTTAAATGCACAGATCTATATTGATTATTTTAACTGAAGACTTATATTGGCTTGTCTATTTTGATTCTTCTGTGGCATTCATCACCATCATATCTGTGCATCAGCCTGTACTTGGATAAATTTGTGTGATTTAAATTGACCTACTAAAAGGGCTGCATACTTGTACCCTTACAGTAATCCCTGTAATGTAGAAGTTATTGAAATGTACAACTAAAGTGGGAAATGAGTCAGACTGCATGACAGTAGTTGGCTCAGGCCTTGTATCAGGAAAGGTTGTAGAAAGGGCACATGTTAAAAAGATCACAACATCTGTTCATCATGGTTGTTAGACCAGGTATAACCTTGTCTTCCAGTTAGACCAGTCTTAAACCAAAAGCTTTTGTTCTCAGCTTTAAGTGTCATAGGATCCAATGAAATTGGGCTCATTCATGTGTTGTGGTATTTTCTATTATGAAAGTCTTTGATTTCAATCTGCAATGCCTGAATTCTAGTGTGATGCCATTGATTTATAGAAAAATTCATATTGTGATTGAAAATTTTTTATTGCAATGGATTGGATTATAGAACTATATATAGAGTAGCTACTGATTCTTGAACAAGATCAAATAGGTCATTTCAAATTAATGTAGCAGTCTTGGCAGGGTAGGTGTTTTGCATATAGGTTGTAATTCCCTTCTTCCCGTTCCCTCACATGCCTTTTTGTAGAAGCACATCAGGGGCCATTCTTTTTCCTTTGTGGATGACTGCTAATGCCTTGTTTTTACAGCTATTTTTCCTATCATACTTCTACGGGTAATTTTTAAGTACCTAGGTTTGCAAATATATTGTAACCTGGGGCTTTCTGAATTACTTGGTGATTCTCTGCAGGCTGTTTGATAAACAGTGTCTTCTAATGTGCAGGCAAGTATAAGAAAAAATAAACATTTTATACATAGAGAGCTATCTAAATAGCGTCTCTTCTCCATATGTTGTAGTACCCACGAGAGGCTCATTATAATACCTGGACCTTTTGTGCACCAAATACTTCAGTCCAGATAATGCTGTGCTCCATCTGCCTTAATCTCTGAGCTACACAATATGAAGTTCTTAATGCTTTGACCTGCTATTTGCTAGCATTTTTGAACTTGGATTTTTCTAGTCCATGTTGCCATTTTAAACAACTTTTCAAGGTTGTTGAAGTTTTCAGTTCTACTGAATTCTTCTGTTTTATTGGGTTTTTTTTCCCCTAAACCAAGTGTAACTTACAAATATTAAAAAGTGTATGAATCTCTAATTTTTTTTCCTACTTTTTTTGGTTGGTTGGTTGTTTTTGTTTTTTTTTTTGTTTCCCCCCCCCCCCCATTTTTAAAGTGCTGTGATTGTTGATCTTATTCAAGGTGTCACTGACTGGGCAGAGATCCAGACATACATGTTGGGGAGACATGCATTTAAATCTGCTGTCAACATAAACCAGATACTGCACTGTATTTCAGAATTTCACTCTGGAAACATGCTCTTCAAATCTGCAGATGTTTTAAAAATCTCTAAGAACAGAGTATTATTTCCAGGAGTAATAGCTATCTAATGTTTTATTTATATATAAACAAATACTCCAACCAGAATTTTTTCTTTTAATTTTGAGGATCTTTGTTGTGTCTGCCCTTCACTGTCCTAAATTCTTTCTTGTGACTGCAGTAAATACTTATAATTACTTTTTTCCCCTTCTTTTCTCCTACGACTACTAAAGTGTAAGAAAAGACAACACTGCAGATTTTAATCAAACGGTGTTTATCAGTTGAAGATTATCCATTCATGTGTAGAGTTACCAGTAAAAGATAATGCTGCAAACTGCCTTTCTGCTGCTTAAGTTCCAGCTCTTTCCCTGTGGCAGTGCAAGACAACTTGAAGTCCCTCATACTGAAAGAGTGATGGATAACCTTCCATGTACTGGCAGCTGGATGGGGAACTGTTGTGTCAGTGACATGGCAACTTTGCATGTGCACGCACTTATCCAGTGGTAAATGCTTGTGTGTGCTTTTTGGAGGGGAAAACTTATGAAACAGGCCTGACAAAAATGTGTGCAGTGTTCAGTGAGGTACTGGCATGTAGTGATGCTGAAAAACCTCAGGAAAAAAGAACTGCTGAGAGACTTTGCATCTTTAAGCAGCAAGGTATTTGTTTATTCAACGTTGGGAGCAAGCCAGCTTGCGCTGGACAAACTTACTTGGCTCAAATGTGCGAAACCAAGCCATTTGATACACTTTAGACACACGGTTGCACCTTCTAACGTACGTATTAATAAGTAGGCTGGTCTCTGGGTGTAGACTTTCCAGAATTTTCCTTGGCATACGTGCAGTTCTTCACTAGGGTGGTTGCCACTTGAGCCTTCATCCCTCTGGGGGTCATCACGAACATCTTCCTTTGGTTAAATTTTTCAGCTTTCTTTATAAGATGACCTGGATTCTTCAAGATTCTTCAAACTTTCAAAATCCTGGCTCTGGGCCTTCTATATCTTATTCAAATGTCTAGTTTACCTGATTTCTTACCCAGTGATCTATTGTATACTACTCCTTAGCATTCTTTCTATAATGAGGACTTTGGTCCAGTGAGCAGAACAGAACATCATGAGAACAGAACAGAGTAGAACAGAACCAGTGCTCCTAAAAACATTCTTCTAGCAAAACAGGTAGACCAAACATTAGGCAATTACCTTCCCCTGGCTCAACAAGGCAAGGTATACCAACTGAGCCATTGTTAATTCTTTTTGTGCCTTTTTGCCATCAGTAGTAACTTATCTTTGTGTTAAAAATATTTTGTTATAAGAAAGGATCATTAGGTGGAAGCAGCAATTTAAAAGGGAATTGCCAACAGGTGAAAGGCAGCATTTCTTATAATAAAACTGCAGTTATGTAAAATAATCTTGTACCTTGGCAGCAGTACCTGCATATTCAGCTTGCTTTTCAGAGCTATAACTAATACAGTCGAACAACTTGTGTTTCACTGTACTTTGTAGTTATTTTACAAGCACGTTCAGTGGTTCAGGGTTAAATAAACAGATGAGAGATAGCATAATACATGGTGACTTGAAGTGGAATAATCCCATGTGTCATTACTTAACTGCCCAGTCTGCCAGTATGCTTTTAACTTTCTGATATAGTCGTGAACAAGGATTCATTGTGGTAATGTGTGTCCCTTTGATATATATGACAATTTGAATTGATTTTACATGTTTGCAGTTACCACAAATGTGGAAATGATGCATTTGAAATACTTCATGTGTGGAAGTATTTAATAAAGAAAAGCTAATATGTTGCAAATAACCTTTCTTTCTTTAACACAATCCATCTTTGGGGGTCAGAAATGAATAATTATGAGTGTATGGAGAGAAAATTATATTTTTTTTTTCCAAAATGCATCGTTAGATTTTGTCTGGTTATTATTTAGCACAGGATCACAAGAAATGTTCAAATTAGCTAAAGGGTAAATCTTTGATGAAGATTTATAGTTGCTTGGGGTTTTTTTCCTTTCTTGTGCACACTCAATTTTTTTTTTTCACTGTGGGTATTGTGAGACCCTAACAGATAAGTTTATTCTTAATAGTCCTTGTTAAATTGCTATGTGTTGATGTTACCTCAAATTTGTTTATTTTTTGGATTTTCTTTTTCCCGTTTATGTTTTTCAGATTATGGCACAGGCCCAGGGTTTGGGGAAGAAATACATTAAAGCCTTTTTAAAAGGTTTCTTTGTTGCTGTTCCTGTCACTGTGACTTTCCTGGATAGAGTTGCCTGTGTCGCAAGAGTGGAAGGAGCATCAATGCAGGTATTTCTGGAAATATGTCTCTCAGGAAATTAAAAGTTACTCTTCACTGACAATAGCAAGGTGGAAACAATCTTTTTCTCAATTGCTATTAAATGACAACATTGTAGTATGAAACAGTTTAATTTCTAATTTGTTAAACAAATACTTTTCTGATGTGAAAGAAAACCTTTTGATAACAAAACTTCTCAAAATTCTGACTTGGTGAAAGGAAAATATATGGAGAAGTAGATACAGATATATTGTTTTGATACCTTCCTAGACATTTACAAATATTTGACGCATTACCTTTTGTCTCTTGGGATTTGAACTGATGATTCACAAAGAGGCTTTATTAATTTTTAGTAGCTGAATTGTAGTAACTGTAAGGTAAACCTGTTTTTTGCTATACTTGCTCTTACTAGTGAACATACATGGCACCATTGCAGTGAAGAATGTTGAAAATGGCATTAATAATATATAATATTAATATATTAATGCATACTTATCAGGACATAGGTATCAGTTCAATGTTTTTACTTTGGTTATACTGAATGTTTATGCAGTGTAAGCAAATAATTATAAATAGGCTGTATAACAGACAACAAATACTCATGATAATGAACAGCTACTTTTCCTCTGGTTTGGGGAGTTGAAAAAGATATGTAGTCAATTTTTGTATTGTTACTTTGCATTTTAAGTCATAAGCAGTGCACATTACTGTGCATCACCACTGATAACCATCATATGTTTTGTTCCAATCGTGTGACATTGCAAATAGCAGAGACTATGAATTCGAATCTTGGATGTCAGGCCCTCTTTTCTGAATGTAAGCTTCTGGGTAAACTCAGAACCCTGAAGAAAGGTTTCGTAGCAATCAAGACCAGCTGCTGGAGTTTGAATTGTGCAGCATTTACACAGACAAAACTTGGGCTAGATCCTGGACTTGGTTGATTTGTGTTTAATACTATAAAAAGCCTGTGGCGATCTAGAGCCACATGGAACATTCAAGATGCAGATGCATATTGGATTTTCTGATTTTGGTTTTATGTTTTTGTTTGTTTGGTTTTTGTTGTTTTTGCTACTGATGAGCATGACCTGATCATTTAAATTTTGAGGTGTTATCTTTTTAGCATGCCACATTGCCTTTCATTGTTTGCTCTTTTCTGTCTCTGATCTAGTGGTCTGTTTGACATCTGTTCTTGCTTGATAGTTTTACCTCAGTAACTGGAAAGAAATTTTTTAGATTTTCCCTCTTCACAAGCTATCGCGCCCTTCTGGTCAATAACTCAGTTCTACATTTTCTTGAAAGTCACAGTCCCAGGTGTTTGGCAATTATTTTGTTTTGTTTGGTATTATTCTGGAGTGTTGCTTCTCTAGTCACTTGAGGAGCATATCGTTAATATGGTTTTCCGTGGAAGATTTAAAAAACCCTACAGTTATTTGCTCAGATTTATTCAACCTGACAAAGAAGGATATGCTCTCTGTAGTGGCTAGGGAAAGCAATATCTATTCACTGGGTGATTAAAATTGAAGCTCCTCCTTGCTGTGTCTGTTGACTAAACAACCTCTGTTGATTGAAGTATGGCTAGCTTGAAAGCTGACATTTGTAATTTTACTGACATCTCAGTGTCTGTAAAATTCTCTGGTTTTATTCTGGACTGTAGCACTGAAATAGAAGTTTAAAAGGAACTTCCATGTATATGGATGTTTTCCAGATTACAAAAAGAACAAATCCTAGTGCTTTTAATAAGATACTAATTTCTTTGCTAAGATTTATTAGACATTTAAGCAAGTCTGACAGGGACACAATTATAAGGAATATATCCCTCTCTTGCAGTAGCTTAAAGGACTACTGGTCATCATGTTGCAATTCTGCCTATCTACTGTATTCTTTGGAAAATGATCTATACTGAATGTGTGTGAAAGCTATGGGTATGAGGGCAGGTGAAGTTCAGTCAATTTGTAGTCATATATCCTTCAATCACATGCTTCCAGTGAAACGTTATTGTCTCAATTTGAAGATATCATGGTAAGATTTCCAAGATTTGTTTGTAATAGACCTCTAAAATTTTTAGCTGGCTTTGTGTACTCACCGCTGTGATTCCTGTTGAGCCTGAAATTAAAAGTTTTGTCAAGAAGCAAGAAATGAATCTCTGTGTGTCCTACACACTCTTCTACTCTTGTTCCCTGTTGTGCTGTCTCCCCCCTTACTTTCATTTTGTTTTGAACCAGCCTTACTGCTGCCTCGTAGTTACTGATGATGATAATACTCTGACACCCTAACAAGCATGCTGAATAAAGCTTCTAATGAAAATACAAATTTTCTGATTTATTCCCAATCAATTAAGACAGACTTCATGCATTTCATTGTCTCAAGCTGATTCTGTGTTTCTACAGTGCTTTCATCTATAAGTCAGTCATGATTCATTTCAGTCATAATTATTTCACTTGTACTGACTTCAGTGTATATGCGTATTAACCCTAGCCTGTAAGGAATAACAGTGAACTCTATTACAGTTTATAATTTTAACATTTTTAATTGTGTAATTTCCTTTTCTATTTCTGAAATTACTGATTTTTTTTTAATCCTTGCATGGGGTGGTTTTGTTGCTTAGGATTTTATAGATAGATGTGCTCATCTAGCATTCTGTTAATAGTGAGTTTCAAGTGAGTTATAATCTTTTTAGAACATTGAATGTAAGTGACAAAAATAACTGGTAATAAGATTTCTTAACTGCTTGTTGTAGATTTTTTCGTGTGACTCCTCTTGTAGTGCTGACTGTATACTGTAAAATGTTTGTTATTATGTGGTCATCTTGATATTGATTTATGTTATTTTTTATTGAGTTTCATTACTTGTCTGGTATTATGAACTCTTCATACATAATGATGTGGAAAAGGAACTCTCTATGGATATATAAATTTGTAAATTCCTTGAATCAAATGGACTGTTTTCAAGTGAAACAGAGATGGAAGATGACAGTGTATGTGCAGCTTTATGTGGAAGTTCTGTTACAAACAGTTCAATACCAAGGATTATAGAGAGTGACCTGAGCAGTGATCTCTGACAAAGCATGCTTGTTTCCACAGCAAACATTATTGAATGTTCTATTCTGTTATGCATAATAGCAGTTGTCATTATTCTGTGGCAGTTTCTCCTAACTTTATTATTAGGATTACTGTACCTAAGCCTGTAAGCTTATGTGAATATTCTTTGTGTTCCCCTAGCTTCAAGAAAATAAGTTGTGCCCATCATTAGTAACATAAAAACCACCAAGTTAATCATTATGTATAGCAAAAGGGCATGTTTTTATCCTCCTACTTGTAAAACCTCATGTCCTATGAGGCTTCATCACATGACTGGGGATCTCAATTTGCATGCTTTTAGCATTAGATTAGTTAATGACTAGAAAGAGTGAATGTTTTGTGGCTTCTGCACCACAGTTTGAATTAAGACCTGTGTGTCTCATTTGTAGCAGGCTGTTATGCCAAGAACTTGAGGAAAGAAGTCATAATACTTCAAGCTAGAGAAGGAGGAGGCCCCTGTATTATTTTGTTTTTTATAAAGAACCCTCAGGAGCCTATTTGTTATCTCTCTTTCAGAAGCTGTATTTTGGTTTTGGTAGACCTGAAACCTGACTACTAGTAAAAATATCATGGGGAATAAGTTATTTCTATACTTTTTGATATAGAACCCAATTTTTGGAATTTACAATAGCAAAAGGCTTGCTGAAGGATTTAGATTTTTTTTTTGTAATAGATAAAAATAATTGTTGATGTAAAATGAAGGTTTCCTAGTTTTCCTTAAATTTCTTCTAATGTAATTGTATCTTTGTCTGTGCATTTGTCAGGTTGTTTTGTTAGAAAGAAAAACTCAGCACTGTCATATTTTTCTCAAACAATTCTTATGTATAATGAATTGGATATCCACTCTGTATGTCAAAACCATGTTAGCTATTGTTAAAAATGCATTTATAGTACTTTAAGTTAAAAAGATTATGTAATATCTAAATGTATTTCAATTCTAAAGCATTTCCTTTGTTTAAATACAGAAAACAGTAGAAGTCAACTGCAACAACCCAACTAGGGCAATACTGTACCTAACTGGTGTATTTCTCTGTAAGATGTAGTTCATATAGATTTATTTGAGAGCAAAAGTCTGTGAACAGTCATGTAGATCTTTTCTAAGGATCAGCTGTGAAATACATCATCTTTTGGAGCAATGGTTTTAAAATTTCAATTTATTTCATCCCTTTAGCCCTTTAAGAGAGATGCTTTTGAATACTAAGGAGCTTACTTTATGAGAATATCCTATATGTGTGATATGATTCCTACTTTGTAAGATTAGTCTCTGCCTTGTACTTAGTACTGTTTTTAGCTTCTGGCCCATATCTGCCTGCATTTAGCAAAATGAGTGTGGCTGTGAATTGTTAATGAATTTGTATGTAGATCATTTGTATGTGAATAAATGATCCTTTGATGGAAAATACTATGAAGGTGGTAAATAATTTTGGAAATCCTGATTAAAAACAAGTAATCAAATATCTGCTACTTAGCTTCTGATTTTCATTAATCTGATTCTTGCAGTGCTTAGAGTCTGGTAGATAAAACAGTGATCGATGTTAATATGTTTATAGCTAAGACTTGAACCATATCTGTATGGATGTTAAGGTGATCTGCACTGATCTGCAGACTTTCTTGACTAGAAACTTGCCCATAGTCCACAGCTCAAAATGTAACTAGCCTTGTTTGCTATTGAAATAAACATATTGTGTCATATTCCTCCCCCTCCCCTGACACATTTATTCTTTTGACCTATATTACTTACTGTTCATTTGAATTACACCTGCTGAGGATGTAATATAATGAAATTTAATATTATGTAATTACTTGTGTTGAGAACAGTTCATTTCAGTGTCCCAACTCGTTTGCTCATCAAAGGTACTATCAATCTGGGGAGGGGCATATCAGCAGTGAAAATCCAGTGGTTGGTGGGGAGGTCCAAGTTAGATTTAGATTGTAAGGTAAGCACCAAAATCCTCTTCTACAAAACAAACAAGCAAACAAAAAACACAAAACCAACTACTGGCAAAAATAGCTAATATTGCAGCTCTCATACTGACAAATGAGGAGCTGCCTAATGTCAATACTCTGTTTTATTTCATATGTCACCTAACTCTAGAATCTAAATTAGAGGTCATCTGCTGTCCATCTTGGAGATACTGTAGTTGTATTTGAAGAGGCTGAAAAAGCTTACTGAGAAATAAGCTGTCAGAAGACTTTAGCCTGGAATACTCTTAAATACTTTCTATCTAGCAAAAGGGAGTATTTTTATTGAAATGAGCTCTGCAAAACTAAACGAAGACAGTACTGTGATGGACTACTTCCTTCCTCTGACATTTCCTATGGGTTAACTTCAAGCCAGCATTGGCCAGTTACCCTGGTTTTATATCACATCCCACAGAATAATTAGGTGTGGTTCTATATACCTCCTAATACTCTGTACTCATTAATTACTTGGTTATTTTAATGCTAAGTTTAGTGACCAGTCTCATTTCTATGTGTGGTTCTGTGAGAGTTCAAGCTCCTATGTATCCTGTTATGGAAGGCCCACATTTACTGCCAATGCCAGTGCATGCTGTAGGTATAGGGTTTGTTTTCTCCCTTTGCAAAGGATGCTGGAATTAGTATTGTTACAAGTACATATTTAATTTTTAGTGCATTATGCTTGTATAAGCAGTGAGATGTCAGCAAAAACATTGTTGCTCTTTTTTTCTTTCTGGGAATTAGTGTTCCTTGTTCTCCTTTGATTTTAATATTAAATGATAAGCATTAAAGGCAATACCTTCTTTTCATCAGGCTTCCCATAAGTATTTAACCTGTGTGACTTGATTTACATGCAGTAGTGCACTAAATAATGTGAAATACAGTTTGTCAGAAATTAATTATATTTAATGTCATTTAATAAATATATTTCCCATAATGCAACAGATTCTTGGCCTCTTACAGTAAGTGGGTATGTTTTTACTAATTTTAATGGATTTCATCTGTTGATGGAATGAGAGTTAGGTGGAAAATTCATAAAGGAAATGTAGATCTAAAGATGTTTGGGGTTTTTTTCTCCCCCTCTCAGCCTTCTTTGAATCCTGGGGGAAGACAAGCATCTGATGTAGTGCTCTTAAACCACTGGAGCATTCGAAATTATGACGTACAACGCGGGGACATTGTGTCATTGGTGTAAGTAATTTTGCATACATTTCAAAATGTGCTTATATAGATGTTGAACCATCAGTATTTAATCTAGAATCATGTAAATATATATATGAGCAAGGAACATAAAATTTTTTATGACACGTTATTGTTATTCCTATCATCCATTTTCAAAACTCAGATGTTCAAAGAATGCATTACCAAGTTTTACTAGAAAGGAATACCATGCAAGATATTATTTGATACAGCATATACATGTACCAAAACTGCCAGAACAAAGAGTTGTGAGGTAAAGAGAGAAAACAGATAAAACATTGTGGCTTAATGGAGTATTCCTTTAAAGTTGTTTGGCTATGCACTCATATTTTTGAGAAATATAGTCTTTCTTTATCAATTCATATTTATTTTTTTCCCTGAAGAAATATGTCTTCTGAATAAAATTTTAGATAAGATGACAAGAATTCAACCACCTCCCTAATGGAGAGATGGAACATTAAAAAAAAAATTTGCATTTACAGTGGGGAGGTCTGTGTATCAAGTCAAAAGGTGGCAGTGTTTCACTGTTGAAAATATTCAAGACTAACAGAGGACAGAAACTCTATTTCAGCCTTAATATAATATAGAAATGGAATGTCAAAGTGTGCATAACTGACACAGTGATATAACACATACTTGTACTACATGCTTGGATAGTTTAAGCTTAACGTTTTAGTTTTCTAAGTGAAATGCATAATATGCAGATTATAAGAGAAATGTCTTTGGAAGCTATATTATCTGACTTCCTTTTTGTCATATATCTCTTTTAATTTTTCCATTTTCTTTGCCTATGTTTTTACTGTAGTGGTAGTTTGTAAAACAATTTTCACTATCAGCCCTTAAAGCCAACCCTCTCACATATTCTTCTTTTGTTAGACACTTATATTTACATTGTGATCTACATTACTGTCTGTAATGTAAAATTTTCTATAAATGGTCTAATTACAGATATGAATTTATTTGTTTTGCAACATCTAATATTGCGAAAGGACTCCAATTTCAGGTCGTTTAATGGTTGCTTGTAATATTTGATTCTGCCTGTGTGGGCATCCCTCTGCCCAAGTCATGCTCTAGTGATTGTTTAAACCAGTCAATGTAACTGATTAGTAATTAATAGATGGAACAGAAAATGAGCATGTTGTCTGATCAGAAAACAGAATTAGTAGTTTGATTCTTGTTATTCTTTCTGAGTGTTTGTCATCTGAGATGTCTGCATTGACTGCTTTCACTTTGCTATATGTTTGAGCATGATAACTGGTCTTTTAGATGCTGTGGGTTTTTTTGTATCTTTGGAAAATTTTACCTAATCTCAAAGGCAATCATGAAGTTTATGTACGCTCACATGGAAGAAGTCACATTGCATTTATGCGCTGTACTGAAGTTTTTCTTAGTCTTTGGAAAGTACATTGAATAATCACATTAGAGAATTCAAAAAGGACTTTAGATCAATACAAAGAAAGTTAAACAATGTAAATATAATCTATGGAATAGTTTTGGTGTGAAAATATTGAAGGATATTTTATATATCAGTAACAACTTCTAAGTAATTCATGATATGGGTTTGTTAGAATCATCTTTGGCTTACTATTGTATTGTAAAGTTTTTAATTGTGTTACGTTGTAAAGGCTTACAGGATATAGTATCTGAATGAGGTTTTGTCCTCGTGAGTTTTTGAGACTTAATTTTGGTATATGAGGCTTTTATTGTGTAAACAGGTTAATACTTTTATCCCTTTCATATTGCTTATTTACCTGTGATTCCTGTAACTCACTGGTGAATAGATATCCTATGTATATGCATGAATTTTACCTGGTGGTCCTCAGAGGAACTGGCTGATTTAGCCAAGGCATGAACAGGGAAGGCCTGTCTCCCACCAGCTGCTGCTTTTTCTGTTCCTTCAGAAATCCAGTTGAGAAAGTGTTGATGTGACTGAGATAGGCAGGTGGATATGTAAACCTTCTTTTGCACCCTTCTTGACTGCTTTACGTTTGTCCACTGTCTCCTCTTTGCCAAGTTGTAGTAGAAAATAACTAAGAGGTTATGGAAGGGCAGGCTCTTACAGAACAAGAGCTGAAGTAAAATATTCATTCATGGCAGCTTGACCAGGGCCATCCAAACTAATTGCTTTTTTTATGCTATGAGAGATACTGTGTCATTCTGAATGGCTGTTGTTTCTATCACAATTCTTAAAAGGGACTGTTGAAGTCCCAGTTGGCAAAGTCCAGTGTAAGTAGGGAGCCAGCAGCCAAAACTTGGAGCAAACAGATGACTTAGTGTTAATGGTCCTGGACACCTCAAGAGAGAATAAGTGAGCCTGTGGTTATGATTCTGATACTGCTTGCAGATCTAAAAGTTTTTCCTCTCTCATCCAACTAGTTCTTGGTAAACATATATATTTTTGTTATTTGCTGACTTTTACTGCGAATGAACACCCTACCCCAAAGTTCTTGGTGGTATTTATGCCCGGTTAAGGTACTAAGTGAAGATTGTGTGTGTTTCTGTAATCCCTACCTCTGCTGTTGATGAAACCATGCATCACAACCATAGCTGTGGAATTAGCCACTGTGTGTGCACACATGTGCATTTACCTGGTTTTGGACATAATATTTAGAATGTCATTAGTCTTTAAAACTATAAAATTAGAGTCAGATAAAAATAATGGAGAGAGTAAGTTGGTAGCAAAAAATTATTTGTTTAATCACAGTTTAGTGTTTTACAAAAATTTAAATCTTACCTCAGCCTAGAGGCAAGAAGTATTTTTTTTCCTCTGAGCTTCAACTCATCCTTATTGATAACAGAATTAAAAGAGCTCAATGTTACATGTTTTAACTTTTGAACTCACAATTTTGATTCAAAGCTAAGGGAAATACATATAATTCTTAACTTGATCACTTGCTTGAGTGCTTAATTTAGTTACTGCTATATTACTTGGACTTATAAAACTAAAAATCAAACCAGGAATAATTATTTAATTAGTTAAGTAATTTTTCTTATTACATGTTCCAGAACACGATCTTTACATCTCTTAAACAGATTAAAAGAAAAAAAAATTGTGTGGCTTTTTTGGTTTTTTTCGAAATGCATTTATTTATCTTCAAAGAGGAAACAGCCATGTGGCAGGAGGTCATCTTTCAAAGATAAATGGATGCACGTTTTTCAGTAACTTTTGTGTTGAAACAGGCATTGTGTTTTGTGAGAACTCTGCTGAGGTAGATCTGAGCAGTTATGTAGAACTTCATCAGATATGAGTGCCAACAGCATTGTAACTGTAGCACTGTGCATCACATTGTGGGCTGTATGGGTCATGCAGTTCCTCGGGAATACACACTTCAACGGCAATCCCCAGTACTTGTGGAGATAGTGCTCTTCTATTGAGGATTAATGGACATTTTTACCAACTTACCTATATGCAGTTTGGTTTCTACTGTGCAGAAATGCAGACATTGTTACAAAAAGATGCTGCCGGAGAGTGATTTCTAGCTCTAGAATTAATTTTGCTTGTCTTTATGGAAAACCTCATGTCCTGATTGTAAAATCATGCCCTCTTTTTATTCCAAAGTTCCTTTCTTAATATAGAAAAAAAGTTGGTGCAACGTGTAGAATATTGCAAATCAGTATGTGTATGTAGAATGGGTATTTTATTGATGTGGCAAAATTTGAGTAAGTTTTTGAATTGAAGACACAACAGTATTTTCAGACCTTTAACATGTTTTCCTATATAAATAAAAGTTTGGAAAATGTCTTGTTCCTTAATTGGTTAATAGGTTTTTAACAAAGGAGTTAACAATGATTGCAGTATAAATTATGTTGTTAGATATTCGAATGATGACATTTCAGAGTTGTAAATATTCCTATATGCAAATTTTAACCTGGAGAGTAAAAATTAGAGATTGATTTAGAGTTTGAGTTTTGTCTGTAACAGAGAGAACACCTTCTCCAAGGTGTGACTGAGAGCAGGAACCTACTTGCTGGGTAAGTTCCAGGTGTCCCTCCATTTCTAATGTAGAATGTCTTCCTGTGTGTCAAATAAAAATAGCTGTGGTAATTTAATGTGGAAAAAAAAAATGACAGCCAGTGCTGTTTGTTCTGTATAGAAGTATAATTGCTTCAAGTACAAACCCAACTTTCTACATAGAAATTTCCTTGACATTAAAAAAAACCCTGACAAACCCCATACTTTCTATCTCTAACCTTATTATCGTTATGAGGGATATTAAGTGGTTTCTGTTATTGCTTCCTCTGACTGTATAATGCTCAGACCTTTCTTCAAACTCCCTTACTTTGGGTAAACTGCTAAGCATTTTTGTGTAAGGCTATGTGTGTTTGATCTTTGAAAATCCAGTGCAGATCAGAATTCTGAAGGAAGAATCGGAGTATTGCATGTGAGGTTGTTTCTGTGGCTGTGTTCCTCACTGGTATCTGTTCAGAAACAAGAACTGGAAAAGATAATTGTGATGATGATATTATGTGATGGTGTAGCAAGTTTCAGCCTATACATACAAATCTGAAAAATTCCACTTTTGAAGGAATCTAATCCTGTTTAGTTGATAAAACAAAAGGGTTCTCTAGTGCTGAAACTGAATATATACTATTCTTAAAAGATCACTAACTGGAATTTCATTCTTGAGACTAACCTAGTAAAATAAATATCAGTAAGAGGGTACTTATTGAAGGAACTGTGTTGAATTTGAATTAGTAGTTGTAATTATGAAAAGACTTTCCACAAAATTCTGGTAGATATAATGTGAATGGACATTTAATAGTTCTTGTATTGTTTTTAAGAAAGCTTCTTTCTGGACAACCTTTTATGAATACTTCTGCTTGACCTTCTTAAGTCTTCCAATTTCTATTCTATTTTTGTTTGTACTTAGGTCTCTGTACCAAGTCATCTGTCTTCTGGCAGGTAGGACACTGCGAAGGAGGTTGTGCTGACACAGAAGCTAAATAATCACTTGAGTTTCTGTGCCTCAGTGACCTCAGAAAATCTTTTC